AGGGATTTGAAATTGGAGGGTGGGGGGGATAATCAAGGTAGATCAGAGTACAGTGCTAAGGCAGACAGCACCAGCTTGAAATGAAACATCTGTCTACGCTGAGAGAGATCCAAGAAGTAATGTTGTTCCCCACAGTAACTAAGCACTTTTGGATCAGCAACTTCTCCTCCGCATTTGGAACAGGCACCTACCATCCTGGTTATTTACCCTAGGGGAGATATTAATTTGCTGAAGACCAGAAGCCATTGTCAATGAAAGGGAAAATCAAAGGAGGGAAAGACAAGAAGAAACAGACAGGAGAAACAACTGCAACTTTATTCTTTGCTCCCTGTGACAGATCCTTTGTGAAATCACAGCCTATGTAAGCATGCTGTGAGCGTTGGCAATGGACCAACCTGTCAGCATATTCCTTTGTTTCACAAACCCATCACATGCATACCTCCTAATTTGGGCTTGCTGGGTCTTCTCTTAATTTGGTCTGCTCCCTCCACCCCCACTCAGGTCCCCCACCCTTGAGCCTTGTGAGCTGGTGTCACTTTATCTCATATTATGGAACAGTGTGGTACATGCCCACAATTTCCTGGACTATGTGTATATCCATTGGCCTTGTTGCTTGCGTGGGTTAGACACCCTGCCTGCCTTGAAGGCTATGCAACTGTGCAAGACCCAGGCCTTTAGAAATCAATTAACTCTTGCCACTGCTCTGGATCATTATTCTAATGCATATCTATTTTACCTACAAGCCAATTCCCACCAAAACATGGGGATATGTTGGAATATGCTAACAAGTTGGCACAAAGGAATATGCTGGCACTGGAGAAATGTCCACCGAAGTGTTGCAGTGTTAGCTATCCAAATACAAGTTTAGCAGTAACTATAGTGCTGCCACAATGCAATGTATGGAAGTCTCTAACCATGTCCGTTTTGAAATTTTCTGCTTCCAGAAATTTGAATAGAGTGAGAACAAGCTGAGGGCATATCCAGAACATAAGAGCAGCCATTTACTGGGCCGTCCCCATCTAGCCCAGTATCCCGTCTCACACAATGGCAGGGCGGAAGCTGAGGGAGGACGTGAACCAGACCTGCCCATTATTTCCCACCCCCTGCTCCTCTACCATTGCAGTTTTCAGTGTTGACACATTTAAAAAGTTGTAAGTCAAAGGCTGCACCTCTATCTATCATGATGGATGGACATTTCCTCCATGAATTTGTCCAGACTCCTCTTGAAATGAATAAAGGTGCTATTATCTCTCTAAGCAACTTGGCTCGTGACAGAGTATTAAACATCACCCCTTCCCCATTGCCTTAGTAACATATCTTAACCTTTAGCTCAACGCATCTCAGTCTCCAGTGTCATTGCTTTGCTAGGACTATCAAGGGCTTTACTAATTAAGACTAATTATCATGCTGGCTCTTGTGACTTAGATGCCTCTGCCACAGACCAACCAACAGCCACGAGGGAGTCACAGTCGTTGGTCAACAATTATGAGTTTTAATTCTGTCCAACACCATGAAAAATCAGTTGTTCCTTGATGAATACACACCATTCTGAAGCACACAGACTGCTTGAAATCAAAGCCAGTGGCACAGACAGGCAAATCATACAATAATGGGAAATGCATTTCTTGCTGTCAAAGATGAATAATCAGCTACACCTTAACATGATACAGAGCTGGAATGGATATAGGAGCTGGACAGAACAAAGCTCATACACTAACCACCAGACTGTGGGTCTCAGTCTCAATGGATGAAAACTGGTGTCCCACCATTGAAATCGGCAGGTTTGCACCAAGTTACACCAACTAAGTGTTTGTCTCCATGCATAGGAGGGTGAGGGAGTGGGGAGAACAGAAAAAGAAATGTATTGATATAGACTGGAGGAATTGCAAAGAAGGAAAGTGTCTCCCTTGGTTTCTATCTGATGCAATCTAGCAAGCTCTGCTTTTCTAGTGCAACCACTGCCTCGGCATTAGACGAATGGGTTTTCAAGCCACAGCATGTATTATCACCACTGAGTGAAGTGGTAAAAGCAAAAAGCAAGAGAGAAATCTCCTCATTGCTCCTCTGTAAACAGGCCAGAATTTAGAGACATAAACTACAGCTTTTCTTTAATGGCAATCAATGAACTATGCTAATTATGTGAACTCTCTCTTACAAGAGGGAAGGAAGGAAGGAAGAAGGAAGGAAAAATGACCAGGATGAGAGTTGAATTGGGCACAGACATTTTGCAAACCCTGTTCTAGAAAAAATGTTTTGCTGGATGGTGAGAAAAGGGGTAACTAGAAGAAATATGAAGGGTGCAGGCTTCCTGTCTTCAAATCTACCCCATTATTAATGGGGCTATTATCAATGAAGGCCCCTGAATTTACAGATTGTATTGTAGGAAACGAGCTCAAATTGTTTTGTAAACCTTAATTAAGCCTCACGACATCTTTGCAACAGCCAGAAGCCCTGTTCCTCCCAAAAGTCATGCAACTTAGGCAGAGCCAAGCAACAGAACTGCACAAGTCCTAATTCCCAGTGCTTTGCCCTAATCACAAGACCGTGCACACTCTGAATACTTCTGAGTATAAATTACAGAGACAAGGATCTTCTGGGACATGTGAGAATGGGCTGGCACATGCTCAAGTACCGCTTGTACTTGTAGGCATATATAGGTCATTCCCAAAGTGTATGAGTTGAATTTATGGAAACTGGAAGCTGTCTGAGATGGGGACAACCGCTCCCCATCGTATGTGTAAAATGAAGAGAATGACAGGAGCTGAGCCCTAATCATGGTCTTGCAATACCACTGGAGTACAGATGATCACCATAACCAACAACAGAGAGATTTTTGCAACAGAGGGAGCTTCAGCTACCACAGATGTGTGGTCATTTGGGGCTTATGGAAAGCCAGGGTTTGCTTTTGCATTATTGACAAGCATGCAGCCAGAAGAGGCTATCCCTGCAACGCTGTCACTTCGAGAGCTCACACATTTTATTTGTGTTCATGTTTCACGTCGTGCTAAAGTTGCTGCCTTAGGCAACGAACAAAGCTCAGGATGACAAATGCCAGACATAATTAAAAAACAGAGGGGGGGGCGGGGAAGGGAAAGGAATAGAAAGCTGGCAACATCTACTCCTCCACGCTCTATCTTCCAGGCTCTGCAGTTTTTCTGGTTCATTGACCCCAGCTGTATTAAAGTACTATGAGCCAATGCAACTGTTGCACAGTCTGCTGTCCCAAAGAGGTGATGACCTTCACCATGATACCTGCCCCCCATTATATCAGCCACGCTACTGAATGCCACTTCCACCCAAATCCCACCCCTCAAATCAGGTACCCCACAGATCTCGCAAATCAGTCTGTCGACAAACACAGCAAAACATGCCTATTGTAAATTGTCTTCCTACCCTGGTCTGTACATGGCTGGTGTGTGACTTGAAACATGATGGTTCATCTTCTACAGTTAAGTTACATAGGTTCATTAAAAATAGGGCTCCTTTTGCAGAAGGAAACCCATCTAATATATGGACAATTGGTCAAGATACACAGAGGTCTTTGCACATGCACATACACGTTGCGGCTTGCATGCCACTTAAAAAAAAAGATCACTAAGTGATGTGTTGATAACAGATCAGGAGCGATGCCCACACTCATCTTCTACAGTTAAGTTACATAGGTTCATTAAAAATAGGGCTCCTTTTGCAGAAGGAAACCCATCTAATATATGGACAATTGGTCAAGATACACAGAGGTCTTTGCACATGCACATACACGTTGCAGCTTGCATGCCACTTAAAAAAAAAAGATCACTAACTGATGTGTTGATAACAGATCGGGAGCGGTGCCCACACACAGCACTGTGAAATCACTACATGTCTATTTTAAGCTGTATTTCCCTCTTACAACCCAACCTACAGCTAAAATAGACCACACATTTTTCTCTTTCCTGATATCCTTTATGTGCTTTTTTTTTCTCCTTTGTGCCTTACTTGGTGTGCTGAATACTTACCTCGGCTTTTTTTTTTTTCGTAACCAAAAGCAGATCTTTTTTTGGTTATAAAATTCCCCCTGAAACCAAAAGTAGCAACTCATAGCTTTTAAAAACATCTCATAGCCAAGTGATCTGAAGAGGGGACCCGTGGGTATTCTGCATTGCAGGCAACCCTGTGGGAGCAGATCTAGTATTTCAAATCCATGCCATCTCCTCCCATGATTCTGCACATATTTAACATGAAGCCCCTTTAAGACACTGCCAGCATGTCCGTTGGATTAGCTTTTGCAACCTGGCAAGTCGACAGAGTTGCTCTTGTTGGCATCCAATGAATCAAATCAAAGCACCGGGTATTGCAAGTATAGCAAATAACTAAAAGTTAATTTTCACGGACTCCAACAGTCACCCTTATTCCTGTTCATTTGCCTTGGCTAAGTGAGTGTGACTGCTTGAATACAACAGGATGTCTGTGGGAAGGATATCCTCCAGGGACTTGCAATTACAAGGGCAAGTCGAGCCCTACATCTGGCTCCCACTATATAAATCAGGCTAGGAAATCAGATCCTTCTACCAGGAGAGGAACTGAGTTTTGCCTCCAAGAGCCACTCCTGTCCCTTGTGCTTCAGGGCTGGCTTTGCTACTCAAAAAGGCTACAACCTTCTTCTCTAGAAGCACTCCAATACTTGGACACACAGTTCAATGACTTTCTATTCTGAGTTATGGTCCACAAATACATTCAAGGGGGATGCATTTAAAAGCTGGTGCGATTTAAAAGAGGTATCCTGCATTCCAGAAACGGGATGTCAAGCTTTCCTTTGCACATGCGTGCACGCATGTGCACAGGAGAATACAAGTGTGCAGTGCTCTGCCTCATAGCTGAGCTTACTCTTTGTGAAATGCTAGCAAAAAACTCTTTGCACTGCACAACTGGATTTTTTTGTTTGCTTCAGTCGCAGTGCGGGCTGTGTCTACTCTGTAATCAATAACAGTTAACAAGAAAAGATTTCAGTTCGTGGTACTTACTTGGGGTGTTCAGCAGACGTGACTTTTTGCAGTAGTAAGCCGCCTCCTGCTCGCAGTGTTCAGCACTGTTGATCATGGCTTCAAGCTGCTCCATGCTGCCGTTGTAGCTTAAATACATGGTATACGGCTTCTCAGGATCGGCTCCATGGACTCGGTTGAGCTCGGTGTTGTTGTGTTGTACTGCAGTCCAGATCTTATCTTCTGTTAAAGGAAGGGAGCGATCAAAATGGGTATCGCAGCAGAAACAAGAGGCAATAAAGGACCGAGAAGTAACTGTATTTGCTACATTGCCTATAGAATTAGCAAAACCCAAGATCTGGAAATGTGATAAAAGGTGGATTGGATTGACATTAGAAGCTCCCCTGCCAAGTTACAGACCAACCCGCCTGCAGAGTCAAAGATAAAAACCATCAACGCCTCTGGAACCGCAGGAGGTCCGGAGGGATGTCTCTTGCCAGGGACCTGGAGTAATTCAGATGCATTTCAGCAGTCTTTGGCCTCACTGGAGGATGCACATTGTAAGGCCTAGGAGTGATAATATCTTCCTTTTGCAAACATATCGTGATTTGAGAGCACACTAGTCATTTTATAATAATAAATGAACCGCTGCTGAGCTACTTATCCAAACCACCTGACGCAAACCGCCAGCTCACCAGGAAGGTTAAAATGAAGATGAAATTCATAGTGCTGTGTTACACAAGTGGCTGTTTCCAGGAAATCAGAATATGCATTTTATTTCCCAGTGTTCACATTCTTCTGCACTGATCTCAAGTGGTACCTTGCAACAGTCCCTGCTCAAGGCAGTACCAACACACATGCCTATACTCGATCCTATATTGAAGAGTTTTTGTCCATCAGGACCCCTTGAAAATCATCCCATTTTTCATTGCTGAAACTCCCTACTGAGCAAGCATGTACTTAAAAATCTGGCCTTATACGTGTGCAACCTCTGGAACCAACTGTGCAAACGTTTCTGCTAGTCATTGCGCATGATGCCACATTAATGTGAATGGGACGGCACACTCAGGTCTGGAACGAGGCATTTGCAAGATCAGCCTTGTGCTATACATTTATTAACACCCATGCAGTAGATTCCTTCTTTGCTGAATAGAGAGAGTGTCACCCATGCATTGCAGTGCAAGTCTGTTGGATAAGCTGTAAAAAATTAGCGAGTTCTAATATTTCTAAAGAACTGTACATTTTCAGTCTTATTTGCAGAAATGTGAGTGTGGCAATTGAGAGAGGTGAGAACTGGGAGGAGGATCAAGAATACTTCAATGTGTACGTGTATAGATAGCTATAGATACAGCTATAGCTTTAGTTGTATCCCATTTTGATATAGTTATAGCTATATAGCTATAGCCATAGCCATAGATATATAGATATAGATGCAGAGAAACCCGAGGCTGAGGCTGCATTTGGTGCTTTACAAATTAATTGTAATTCATGATACATTTGCAGTTACTTCTCCTAGTTTACACTTCAAGCCTAACAACTCTATGGCTACTAAAAACAACTGTAATATATTCAAGACAGATTAGAGAGATTTCTGCAAAATATATTCATAACTGGATGGATTAGAAAGACTTCTGCAAAATATATTCATAACCGGATGGAAGCTTTCTTCTCTTGAATATTATCTGTCCAAAGACACTCAGATGACAGACAGATAATCATGAACACCTGGTGACGGAGAAGTTGTGCAGAATGTCAATTCCAAAACCCCATTGCAAGTTTAGGAGAAATTACTCTCCCAACGATACGGAAAGACCTTCAAATGCTGAAAGTCTAAGAAGAGTTAGCATTCAACAGTTCAAACAATGATTCAGAAGGCTCTGGTCATTTCTTTGATGATAGATAGGGAGAGTTTTGCTTGTAAATCTCTAATTCAATTCAGGGGTTGTTAGAGAATCGTGGATATTACTTTCCAAACCTTGAGGCTGAATTTGAACTTTAATGATCAACATTCCAGTGTAATGTGCAACAAACAAAACATACATTATAGCTGCAAGAGCTGCTGCAAATTTAAGTGTTTTCCAGAAATGACCCCTAATGTTGGAGATAAAGCATGCGACCAAATTCAAGGCAGCAATACAACATAATACCTTAAGACTCGAGAAATGTCATAACATACTCATGGTGCATCTCAAGGTAGTCATCCATAGCAGCCAGACTCTCTCAGATTTTCCTCCATAGTCTCCAAAACTAACAAGGCAAAAAGGGGATTTTCAGAAACAGCTGAGCACTCACCTACCTCTGCTCCACTTGAAGGCAATGGTAGTTGTACATTTGCCTTAATTGCCTATGGTGTTGTATTGGCATTGATTATCTTTGAAATGTCCATGACTATTCCTGCAATGTTGCTATTTATGTTAAAGAGCTATTATGACAGGAGGGAACTACTGGGTGGTGAAGCCTGGGCAAGAAGAAGCACAACAGATTGGAAGCCATTAGCCAAGTGTAATAAAAAGACAATAAAAACAATGTGTATTTTAATGGTAATAATAATGCGATATGTAGAGAGCCGTCATTTGCCCGGGCTAACATCACTTGGCTTTCAGACCTTTGTGACACCGTACCCTGTGCTCTTTGGGTAACTGGTAAATTAGTAGTAACACGTTTAAAAAAATTAAGAAAAGTCCAGGGAAAAGCTTCCAAAGCGCGCTCTGAAACAAAGTGGTGCCATTGCCGTCAACTGAGACATTTGAAATGAGATGGGGCAAAGCACGAGTGAGCATACCGCAGGGAACAAACCTGCACTGACAGGTGTATTGAACGGACGACCTGGCAGGTCTCTCCCTTATCTTCCTTTGCGGGTGTTCATTAATTCTCATTGGGATTGTTATTACTGTAGCTGTCCTGAGCTATTCCCCCAAGATCTGACCTTTGATGTCCAAGGCCTTCCCTTGTCCCTCTATGATCTGTACAATATGGCAAGTTAACCACTAGTTTTCTATCAGATGCTCTGATCAGAGCAAAAACAAAAAAACAACCCAGCAAGCCTGACATCACTGTGCCTTAGAGAAGATGAAAGGGAGAGAAATGGGGAGAGAAAGGAGGAAGGGGCGTGGGGGAGGAGAGAGAGGAGATTACGCTCACTTTTAAGACGTCTGCTAATGTTCCTCTTATTCCATTCAATACTGGAGCAACAGGAGCTGTGCCTTGCTGTGACATTTCCAAGATCACTGTGGTGCTGGAATTACAGATATTCACCATGTTCTTTGTCACAAAACAGCTCATAAAATACATGCCGACAGCCTGGGAACTGATGAAGAACAAGCACGCTACAGGGGCAACCGTGTTTATGGATGGGCACGAAACGCAGCATCCTACCACCACCCAACAGTAACATTTCCCGGACTTGTTTTCATGCTGCATGTTGATGAGGTATTTGCAAAGCATCTGTAGCAGGCCGCAGATGAGGCTTTATACACTTATGTTTTTTCCTTTTTCGTCTTCCTTTTGCAAAAAGAAATGCTAAGAGAGGCTTTAAAAGGTGTGGATTCTATGTGAAAGCCTGGAAGGGCATTTCCGACATGCCGCAGATGTGTGCTAAAAGACCTGGTGGAAACAGCTTTGCAGGGAGGGAATGGCTCTTGCTCCCGTCTCTGAGCATCTTGAAATGTCTCTCTCTCTGCACCAGAGGGTTTTGTTAGGGATACTATAGTTTCTAGCAGATGAAGAAGTGAGACCCAAAGAGGCAGGATCACATAGGAAATCTGGGACAAAGCAGGGTGCTGTCCTTTGTCCAGTGCCCTGCCAATTATCCCATGCATCCTCTTACACATAATGTCATCGTCCTCCAAGAGGACTTACTTGAAGTCTTAAAGTGAAATTACACGTTACATTTAGACCATGCTAAGGGCATTTAAAAAGCACACATGAAAGCTTGTTAACTCCTGCTGGGTTCCTTCTGAACATCTCCAAGCAACCCCAGTTAATTCTGGCCCAGGCTACCTAGCTTGCATTAAGGAAACTTGAATCTGCTCCATGGATATAAAATACACAATTTGCTCTCCCCTCCAGCATCCCAGGATGCAATACTCTGAGCCCACCAACCCTCCGCTAGCCAGAGAAGGGAGGGAACCCAGGTGTCCTAGCTCCTAGCCATGCCCCTGCTTGCCAGAAACCTCTAGTGCCACATCAGAGCTGTGCAGGCATTATTAACCCTTAGTGCGCGACTGCACCCAGCACTTTCTAATTTGAATGCCACTTAATTTTCCACAGATTTAGCGTGGTGTAAGTGTAGAGTGTAACTGCACCCTTATTCAATGGCAGTCAATAAAGGGACATGTCTTTCAAAGATTAAGGAGTCTGAAGTTAGGGATCGATCTGGCTTGAGGTTGACACAAGGACATACCCAATGGTTTCTCAATGACATTTAGAAAATAGGTAGATGAGACTAACCCCTTTTGATATCTAGCCCTCTGGAACAGTGTGTTGTTCTCACACTCACCTATTTGCCCTGGTTGCTCCTGAACAATTCAAGCTTGACTATTATTATTTTTAAAAGCTTGCTCTCTTTCATAACTACAGCTTCGGCTTTCCAAACACACCTTGGCAAAGAGTGCTGTCTGCTTGAACAAATGACTATCAGAGTGAGGCAAAATGCTTATTCTGAAATCTAATGAGCTAGGGACAGAAGTTGCAGATAAACCAGTTCAGGTGATTAGAAACTGACTTAAACCTGTACCAGAACAGAAGTTCAGTGCATATCCACCAGTTTCAAAATGGCCGAAACTAGTTTAATATAAACCTGGTTGAATGTAGTATCAGAATTAACTGATTCAGGTCAACGTGGTTTAAAGAACTTCTGTCCCAGACCCCTTCCTTGTTAAATAAAATCAAAGTCCCCCGCATCTCAGTGTGGGCTGATAAGCTTTGTGTCTCTGCTGGCTTGCTTCAAAGCCATCACTGTGCAGGCATCCCAAATTCATCCCCCATCCTGAAACCCTAATATCAAATGAAGTCTCATTATGCAGTGATTCATATGGTGATTGCTTCTGCACATCCATTACTGAGCCTGGTGAGAGTGCAGCTTGCCAGTCCCCGCATCTGTCAGTGTTCAACAGGGGACAGAGAGAGGTGTGAGAAATGACCTGGTTTGCAACGTAAGGGACCTATCAGTTTGAGATTCAAGCAAATATGAAGCACCAGCCAGCAGGATAATAAGAAGGTGGCAGAAGATCTGCCTGGAA